GAAGTCCTTGGAAGAGCCACGTCTTACCAGTTAAAAGGGGCACAGCATTGGTCCATATGCTGGGTGATCTTTAACTTACGAGCACAGTTGGGAGCAGAACCTCCGTTGCTAAGTGAGGAGGGCGTTAAATGAATCACACCCAATTTTATGAACCATTTTGCGGGGTCATTAAATGAACCAATGTGGGCTAAGTGAACCCAGCATTTCCCACTGACTTTGCTCGTCAGAAGCCGGCTGGGAAGATTGAAAATGGTGATCGTGTGACTCCTATTTACGACGGCTGCAATGTCCTGGAGCGATGTGATCCCCTCCTACCGACCAGTAAAGTCAACGGGGGAGGCTGGATTCAGTTAACTGCGGGTGAATAACTTAATAACTGCAGTGATTCACTTAACAAGTGTGGCGAGAAAGGTCGTAAAACGAGGCAAAAACTCATTTAGCAAATGTTCCCTTTTGCAACAGAAATCGTGGCTCGACTGTGGTGGGTAAGTGGAGGACTTTCCAACGCAGCCGTTGGCTCTGACACCCCAGAGATGAATGGAAGCTGCAGCCTGGACTTGGCTGTGTGCATCTGCTTCCCCAAGTCCTTTCCGAAGCGGCCTGTCTCCTTCAACATGTAAAACACAGCAGAAATAATTGTGCAGAACCGTTCGGCAAAATTAGACCGGGAGGAGGATGGAGCTGTTTTTCTGCTTACTTGCACAATTTGTGCCTTTCAACTATTCCTCCCCCTCCCCTCTCCCTTTGACTCTAGCTGAGAAAACACACACACACACACACATACACACACACACAAAACATCTTTTTACAGCAAAGGGCCAGGAGCTTTGTACATCACACGCTCACAGTGTACAAACAGCATTTAACCTGGCAAAGCTCAAAGCAGCCTGCTACGCAGAGATGCTCTCTTACACTTACCTAGGCACACTTCCTACACACCGGAGGGGTAGGTGTCGGATCCAAAAGCATTACACAATCATGAAATACCCCGGAAGAAACTCAGCAGGAAGGAGACACAGTTTTCCAAGCTTCTTTGTAGGACATCTAGTGAAAACAGGGTGGTCATTCTGGCCCCTGGGTGTTTCATTAGCCCACCTGAGAACCGACTAATCACACCTATTCAGCCAGCAATAGAGGCAGAGGTGGCACCTCAAGGAGAAGCCACCCACACCCCCATCACACTAATTACTTTGGGATAAGCCAGCCAACTGCGAAAATAATTTCTCACCCTGAGAGAAGGTGCAGCTGTTACCAAAACAATGAAGACAAGGAGACTGCAGGCCCTTCACACCCAAAAGAGGGGACCCTTCCCCCCTTTAGAAAAGAAAAAAAGGGGGGAGAAATGGGGTGGGCTTCTGCTCCCCTAAAAAGTCCCATTCAAACTAAGATGCTTGCTGGAATTCTTGTAGTCCTTCTCAGAAATGCTAAGACGTTCTTAGTATTCTAAGAACTTATTCTAAGAATTTATAAGTATTCATACCATACATAGTTGGAAGGACCTTGGGGGTCTTCTATTCCAACCCCCTGCTCAAACAGAAACTCACACAAATGGCTGTCCAGTCGCTTCTTAAAAGCCTCCAGCGTTAGAGCACCCAACTTCTGGTGGCGAGCTGTTCTACTGGTTTACTGTCCTCACTGTTAGGAAGTTTCTCCTTAATTCCAGTTCGCTTCTCTCCTTGATTAGTTTCCATCTCATCTTGTCCTGCTTTCAGTTGCTTTGGAGAACAGGTTGACCCCCTCTTCTTTGCGGCATCCCCTCAAATATTGGAAAATTGCTATCATGTCACCCCTGATCCTTCTTTTCTCTAGACGCCATACCCAACTCCTGCAACCCTTCTTTTCTTGAGGAACAGAAGACCAGTTGAGGAACCTCAACAGTTGCTGATGAGGACCTATCGGCCTGGAGAATGGATGCGGAATTAAAAGCCCCAATGGAGAACACATCTTCTGAATTGCACAGAACTTGCAAGATTTTGTCCTTGATAACAATTAGGAAAGTGCTTATTTTACAATGCAACTTTTCTTCTAGCCTCTCACACTGCTATCTCCAGGACTGTAGCAAGACCTACATTCCTTACTCTATAGCCGCCTTCCTGGGTCCCAAGAAAGCTTTGAAATGGATGCCAGAAGCCCTCCCCCGCTGCCCCTGCTGATTTACTCAAGGGTAAAGATAAGAAACTCATTCAGCCTTTCTTGTGTTTAGGACTTGAGAAGAATCATCCTGTTACTATAACAAGAAAGGGGAACTGACTTGGCATCCAGGCCTTTGATAAGCTAAGGGCTAGGTGGGCTTTACTGGGTATCTGTGTCTTGGTAAGAGGTTGTTCCCTCTCCTAACCTTCTGCTTGACTGTAAATCAATGATTCCATCAGCCCCTGTTCTTTGGAATTTGGTGTAATTTACCAATTATCTGAACAACAAATCATTGATCTTGCCATTGCTTCCTTATCAAGGAAACCAGGATCTGTCTGCAGTCTTTAGATGTGAGTTTTTCACCAAACCAATTGGGTTAAAAAAAGGTATTCATCGTGTGTTTTTTTTTTTAACCCACCCAGAGAAAATCCCCATAATATCCCATCATGGGGGGGGGCCCTCCACGGGGGTCAGGGTAAAGTTAAAGAACCGCAGCAGCAGTTGAGGCTAGAGCTCACCCAAGACAAATCTGTCTGAACAGCAATAAAAGCTGGATAATGCAGATAGCCTTAACATTTTAATTGTTATGCTTTTTAATCTCCTTTCGCACTAGCGACTTCACAGTCTTTTAAAAAAAGGAGAGGGAAAACTGCTGAGATCAAAAGAACAGCCCACGTCTCATAAAACCGGAATTTAACTCTTAAGAATTAAGAGGAGCAGACGGGTTAAGGTGTCCAAAAAGCAGGATTTGGGGTCCCCGCAAGCCTCAGCAAAGGCAGATAACAGAACAAGAGAGTTGGAAGGAACTTTGGAGGTCTTCTAGCCCAACCCCGTGCTCAGACAGGAAGCCCTATACCATTTCAGACAAATGACTGTCCAGGGGAGGTATCAACTTATTTTTCAAAGCACCAGAAGGCAAGACAAGAAACAATGGACTAATCAAGGAGAGAAGCAATCTGGAATTAAGGAGAAACTTCCTAACAGTGAGGACAATTAACCAGCGGAACAGCTGGCCTCCAGAAATTGTGGGTGCTCCATCACTGGAGGCTTTTAAGAAGAGACTGGAATGGTAAAGGGCTTCCTGCCTGAGCAGGGGGTTGGACTAGAAGACCTCCAAGGTCCCTTCCAACTGCTATTCTGAGTGATTGATTGGTTCCACGCTAGGAACAACTGCTTAGCTTCCTTGAATCCATGATTCCTTTGAATCTCACAGCATCACAAGGACCAGATCACCAGTTTGGAAACAAATCCTTCAGGATCCTCTTTCCAATTGTTCACAGACGTGACTTATCATCATCATGACTCAGAGGCTTCCTCTTTATCTTTCCGATCCCCTGAGCGATCTTAGCCAATTCCAGCAAAATAAATGAAGGGAAAGGATGAGACGCAGAAGGGGGAGGGACCCAGGCAGGCTCAGAACCCCAGAGATACCTGGTTGGGCCATCCTTACGGAAGGATACCTGTGCAGGTAATCCTCGACTTTCAACCACTGCTATGCAAGGTGGTTAAGTGAGTCCTGCCCCATTTTATGACCTATTTCGCCACAACTGTTAAGTGAATCAGGCATTCATCAAGTGATAAAAGCGACTGAGGATCATTTTTCACACAGCATCCCCGCGATCACGTGATCAAAATCCGGATGCTTGGCAAATGGCATGTACTCAGGACGGTTGCGGTGTCCTGGGAGGTCATGGGATCCTCTCTGGCATCCTTCTGGCCAGCAGAGTCGATGGGGAAGAAGGCAGATTTTCATCTAACAACCGTGTGGCCGACTTAACCACGGAAGCGACTCGCTTAAGAACTGCGGCCTGGGAAAGGTCGCCAAATGGGGAATACCTCACTTAACAGCGGTTTCTCAGCAACCAAAATTTGTGGCGCGCCACTGTGGTCCGTAACCTTTCTGAATTCCTATAACCTCGACCTGCTTCTCTGAATTCCGTCCTGGGGCTAAGGAGGCTCCCGATTCCTTGGCAGAGCCAGGAAGGACTTCCTGGAGACCAGCACAATACGCAAAGGCACCTGGGCTCCCCAGCCGAGTCTTCCCGTGCCAGAGGGAAGGACTGTGTGTCTTCCCCCCCCCCCCTGCAGGAACAGTCTCTTCTGGAACCCAGTTCCCTGTCGGAAAGTAAAATCTATTAACCTCTCCCAAGACACAGGCTGTGCCCCTCGGAGGAGAGTCCTTTGGAGGGAGCTTAATTATCTTTAAACCCACACCCTGCCTTCCTTCTCTCTCCCCCCCCCCCCCAGGCAGTGCTTGATTTTCTGTGTAGAGCGGAGGGGTGTGAATAAACGGATCTCATTATGAATGCCTATATATGGCCATCCGAATAAAAGGCCAGCTCTCTCCCTGATCTGCCCGCCTTGGCTCCAAAGCAGACCCCCCACCTGTGGGAGCTGAGCCAAAATAGACATAATTCTCTCCCCCCCCCCCCACTTAGAAACAATTCCTGCAACTGGGGATGAAGAGAGGATCGTGAGAAATTCTTTACAGAACCCAAAGGGGTAATCCTCGGTTTACAACGTTCATTGAGTGACCATCTAAGCTTATAATCGCACTGTCAGGTGTATGCAGAAAAATCTACGCTTGGGGTACAGGGGTAGTCCTGGACTTGTGACTGTTCATTTAACAACCATTCGAAGTTATGAAGGCGCTGAAAAAAGGACTTACAAGCGGTCCTCGTCCTTATGAAACCAGATGTGACTCGCTTCACAATCGCCTTGCTTGGCAATGAAAACTCTGATCCGAATTGTGGCTGTTACGTCGAGGGCTCCCTGTAGACGCACAGGCGAGGTTTTGCATCTGACAGGGTGAGGAGTTGGAACAGGAGACCTCTTTAAATTTTGGAATAAAAGGGTGGCGGTCTTACCTTCTCTGTTTTGCCGTTCTGCTCTTCACGTGGACCGGATTCCGGGCAGGTTGCTCAGGTCCTTAGAGAGGATGCAACGTGATCTGTGGAGCAGATAAATAACGTCAAGTTACACAGGATAAAAAAAAAACTTGCAAGATTTCACCCATTAATGAGAGATCTGCAGCTGTGATACAAAGGAACATGCCGAGACTCTGGAAAGAGGGCAGAGAAGAGCAACAAGGAGGATCAGGGGAGGTAGAGGCTGGAACCTGCGATGAGCAGTTGCTGGAATTGGGTATGTCTAGCCTCGTGGAGAGTAAGGACTAGGGGTGACACGTCTTGCATTATTTGAGGGGCTGTCACAAAGAGGAGGGGGTTGACTGATTGGACCCTTCTTAGAACAGCCAGGTTCTGCAGTGGGGTTTCTCAACCTTGGCAAAGTCAAGGTTAAGCCAGCGTGGGGAAATCTGGGAGTTGAAGTCCACCTGTCTTAAAGTTCCCAGGATAGAGTGCCTGGATTTGAACAACACACACAGGATAGAATTTGCTTGCTGAGTTTGTGGTTCCAGATGGGTGTCGGAAACCACTTTGCTGCTTACAATCTGGCTTATTTCCTTGGCACAACGTGTGGTGCAAACATGGGAATTTGTCAGCCCAGATTTAGGAAGGATAACTTTGAATGGCCACTGAATAAATGGCTGTAAGCCGAGGACTACTCGGGAGTCCATGCCGGGGTCCTTAATCAGCATCAGGAACAGCCTTCCCTTTCACGAAAACAGAGGCTGCTTCCCCAAAACAACACCCTCAGGCGTTTCGCACACAGTTTAATTACTGCGAGGATTTCCACGCCGCCGGCCTTTTCCAATGTGCCTTTTTTTGGGTATGGAAAGCAAAGCCCGCAGCTCCCTGGCTAATCACAGCGGCTGCTGATAAATGAGCAACACGAGAGCAGGAGAAAAAAAACCGGCCTGCAGCAGTTGGAGAAAACATATTTTGCAAATGATCTCACTGGAAACCTGGCAGGGTGCAAGATGCACTTCGGAAAGGCAGAGCGGGCTGTCAAAAGACGTGTCACTTGGAAACGTAATAAGTGGGAAGACAACAATGCTGGGTGGCCTCTTGCCGCTGCAGCTCAAAGCCCGGGAACGTCGCGTTTGTGCATCGGAGAGGTGGGCTTTGCAGCCCGGTTAGCCAAACACAAACTAAGCCAAACTAGCCAGGTGGATGAACGGCTCAGAAGAAAGTCAAACCCAGGGACAAATTCTCCCCCGATTCTCCTAGGCCGCCTCACTTTCTCAGCTGACTCACAAATATGCACACACGAAACCCTGGCAAACTTTTAAGCGATGCACCATTCTCTCTGCAACCATCAAGGCTTCTAGCGGTGTTTCTCAACCGTGGCAAATTTAAAATTGGTGGACTTCAATACCCAGAATTCCAGCTTCTGTTCCAGTTTTGGAAACTTTGGAGAAAGTAGAAGCATTTTTAATCTGATAATGAAGGATCCTTGGTGCTCTCTGAGCTTGTTTGTTTTCTTGCAGGTGTCTCATCACCCAAATCCATTTAACTACATTAGCCATCCTTTACGGATGTGCACTAGATATACAGAATAACAGAGTTAGGAGGGACCCTGGAGGTCTTCTAGTCCAGCCCCCTGCTCAGGCAGGAAACCCTATAGCATCCCGATCAAATGGCTGCCCAGTCTCTTCTTAAAAGCCTTCAGCAATGGAGCACCCACAATTTCTGAGGCAGGCTGTTCCATTGATCAGTTGTTCTCGCTGTCAGGAGAATAGGTTGGCCCCCTCTTCTATTGGACATTTCACTTAGAACTGAATCTTTTTCAAGTAAATGAAACCCCCAGAAGTTAAAGCAGGCTTCTCTTATCACCCAAACAACCAGAACTGTAGCACCTTAAAGTCTAACAAATCAATTAAAATATTATTTGTGGGCTAGGGTTGATTGAAGCAGATGTCAGCCAACTTCAAAAGTTACAACGGAAACCAGGCTGAAAATTTTCGTGGGAATAAAAACTGGATCAAAGCATCGGTGTAGAAAAAAGCAGGTAGAAAATTAAAGGAAGCCACCCAATGTGGTTCCTCTGCTACATTTAAGCACATCCAGATGTCTTTCACATCTTTGGATGCAAAATATTTATCCTGCTTGGAACTTCAAGAAGCTCCAGGACAACTGTTTTGTCCAAGCTCTGGAATATCAATTCTGCCCCAACCGGAATAGCCGTAAATTCCACTCTGTTGACCCAATCCAACGGCAACAGCTCTTTAATATTTCAGTTAGCGAGGTAAAAGCATGTACCAGCGCATCAATTACCCAGGTCACAAGACAGCCGTTGGACAGTAGCCAGAGCATCAATTCTCCCAGCTTTGCAAAATGCCTTCTGAAGTATTGCAATTAACGAAGCAATGTGCCACGGACACGTCATTTTTAAGTGCTCCTGGACTTGGCCATGGATGCACGGGACCCTCACGTAGGGAGGTTCAGCGTGTACTCTGGCTACAGGCCTGCTTTACCGGAGGAGCTGAGCCTTTTGAACACAATCCTCGCAGGATGGCAAATGCATTTTTAACCACAGCATGTTCAGGAACACGCTCAGACGAGGAGAAATAAAGAATAATAGAGCTGGAAGGGACCTTGGAGGTCTTCTAGTCCAACCGCCAGCTCAAGGAGGAGACTCTCTACCTTCTGGTCAAGAGGCTCTTCAGTTTCTTCTTAAAAGCCCCTCCAGTGGCGCACCCATAACTTCTGGAGGCGAGCCGTTCCACTGATTGATTGTTCTCACTGTCAGGAAGTTTCTCCTTGGTTCTAGGTTGCTTCTCTCCTTGGTTAGTTTCCATCCGTTGCTTCTTGTCCTGCCTTCAGGAGCTTTGGAAAATAGGTTGCCCCTCTCTTCTTTGGGGCAACCCCCTCAAATATTGGAGGACTGCTGTCTTGTCACCCCAATCCTTTTCACTAAACTAGACACACCCAATTCCAGCAACCGTTCTTTGTATGTTTCCGCCTCCAGTTCCCTGATCATCTTAGTTGCTCTTCTCTGCAATCTTTCCAGAGTCTCAATCTGTTTTTTATAATGTGGTAACCAAAAGTGGATGCAGGATTCCAGATGTGGTCTTACGGTCATAAGGAGGAGGGGAGTAAGTGGAAAGATGGGCGTAAAGCAAGCAGTCATTAAACAAGGCAGCTGATAAACGAGGACTGTCTGTGCTGCACCACACTGTGGCTTTTGCACATGAAGGGGAGCCAAACTGAGACTAAAAGGGCCGAGTTTACAACATCGCCTTAAAGTTTAATGTGATATTCTAGGTTTTACGCCGGATGAAATCAGTCCATGCAGCTTTGAGGCTGCAGTTGCAGAGGGCGAGTTGGGGCCGAGCAAATCCTGGATCAGCGGAAGGGCGGAAATGAAAATGAATTCCTCACATTTCTAATAAAGCCCCCAATTTATTTTTGAGAAGCACATGGATGTTGCCCATGCAGGTAGTCCTCAACTTACAACCACAGTTAAGATCGGTTGTTAAGCGAATCACTGCAGTTGTCAAGCAAGTCACATGGTTGTTAAGTAAACCTAGCTTCTCCGTACAGTTTGCTTATCAGACGGTCACAAAAGGGGACCACACGACCCAGGGACACAAATACGAACGAGCTGCCAAGTGTCCAAATTTTGACTATGTGACCCTGGGGAGGCTGCAACGGCTGTAAGTGTGAAAAATGGTCCTAAACCATAAATCATACCGTTGTAACTCTGAACAGTCACTAAATGAATGGTTGTAACTGGAGGACTACTGCATAGGAGGGAGGGAAGGAAGGAGGGAAGGAAGGAAGGAAGGAAGGAAGGAAGGAAGGAAGGAAGGAAGGAAGGAAGGAAGGAAGGAAGGAAGGAAGAAAGAAAGAAAGAAAGAAAAAGAAAGAAAGAAAGAAAGAAAGAAAGAGAAAAGAAAGGTTATATTTTAATCCTTTCTCAGGTGGGGAAGAGGAATTCCGCCCTCCCAAAGAGAGCCACCCAAAGGCAGGACGGGGGACGCAAAGGGGTCTGTGCTGATGGCCAGATTTAAACCAGGGAGGGGGGGACACTTTGCTGACTTCAGCAGCCTCCCCCCCCCCCGCGCCCTCTTTCTTTCCCCTTCATGCGTGGCTGCCCCTGAACTTCAGAGGCGGAAAATCGCAGCCTCTTCCCCCGAGCCGGGACCCCGGGCAGAAAGACCCCCGGCCAGGTCGCTCCAGCCATGCTCGGGGGGCGGCGGAGAGGGTCTTCCCGCGGGGGGGGGGCTCTTCCAGCAGCTGCTCCCTCTGGAGAGCCCGGAGGGGGAGGAACTGCCTGGCGGGGGGTGCGGGAAGCCCCCGCGGGTTCCAGGCACCGCAGACTCCCGGCCTCGCCTCCCAGCCGTCCAGTCCTCCCGGCCAGGCGGGGGATGAGGGGCGCCGGAGCGGGGCAGGGGGGCACCGGGGGAGGGTGCCAGGCAGCGGGGAAGGGCAGCCGATCCCCAGCGCCCCTTCCCCGGGGCTGGCGCAGGAGGTCGCGGGCGGCTGCGCTTACCGGCGCCGGTCCCGGGGAGCGGCCGGCGGTCCTTCCCTTCCTCCTCCCGGCTGGCGGCAGGAAGTGATTCCCGCGGCCGGGAGGGGACTGCCGAGCCCGGGGGGGGGGGTGTGGAGGCGAGGCGGGGCGGAGCCCGGCACCCCCTCCTCCCTGCACCGGGACTACAAAGCCCGTCCTCCCCAGCCGCGCCACCGGCCCTTCCATCCAGGGCAATGCGCCCGCCAGCTCTGCCCGGGGCTCTTGGCCGGGGGACCTAATTCCCCCCCCGACCCCCGGCCACTGACCCGGGTCAGGGAAAGACCGAGCGGCCGCGTTCGCACGACGCCCCGAAGGGAAGGGAGGTGCCAGCCGTGGGAGCCCGCCCGCCGGTCCGCTTCCACTTGGAGCGCGTGGTGCCTGCGCAGCACGTGGCCGTGTGAAATGGATCCCCCCCCTCCCCAGCATCTCTAGGGAGCCCCCAGCCCTCTTCTGGGTTCCCTGCACGTCTGGATGAGCAGAGCGTCAAGGGGTCTGTGTGTGGGGGGGGAAAACAGGAGCTTTATTCCCCGGTGGCAAAACAGGGAAAGCTTCCAGAGTTCAATTCACACAACAGAGATGTGGACCGAGTGATCTCCAAGTCACCGTCCATTCTTACTGACCCCCTATAGAGATTTTCTCCAGGAAGGTTCATCCCTAACCTGGTCCTTCAGGTCTTCTGACTGCGCCTGTCTCCACAGTGTCCGTCCCCCCTTCTGCTGGTCCTCCCCTTCCTCGTCCCATCAATTAACTGACTGATTAGGTGCCACTGTTAGTGACTTCAGAGGTAGGATTTCTCCAGGAAGATCCTGGTCCTTGAGGTCTTCCAGTCATGGCCTCATTGCCTCCCCCCACTGTCCATCCATCTTGCAACTGGTCATTCTCTTCTCTCTCCTCGTTTTCCCAGCATTATGGACTTCTCAAAGGGAGCCGCTGTTGGCATTGATCAACTGATTATGAGCTATTAAGTTGGTATGGATTTTTATTGACCACGTTGATATTCCCCATGATGATCTCAGCCTGGAGGTCCTACAGGCCTTCCAACAGATCCCTCCTGCCACTGTAGCTGCGTCCACCAATCTTGCTGCTGCTCATCCTTTTCTTCTCTTTCCTTCCACCTTTCCCAGGATTCAAGTCAGTGTCCATTCTTAGCAGCCCTACAGACTGGTTTTCTCAAGGATGATCTGATGCTTCAAGACGACTTCTTCTTCTTCTTCTTCTTCTTCTTCTTCTTCTTCTTCTTCTTCTTCTTCTTCTTCTTCTTCTTCTTCTTCCTTCTCCTTTTTCTTCTCATTGATTATATGCCATCAGCCAGTGTGGACCCTTAGTGATCTCCTAGATCTCCTTCAAGCCTTCCAACTGTGCTCCCATGACTGGTGTGATGAGTCCTCCACCTTGCTGCTGCCCATCCTCTTCTCTTCAACAATACCACATAGTTGGAGGGAGCTTGGAGGACGTCTAGTCCAACCCCCTGCTCAAAATCTGCAGATTGTTTCACCCTGAATTAAAAAAACAAAATCAAATTCACCGCTCCCTCCCCTCTATCAGGCTTGTTTTTCTTCCGACCTCATCTTCGGTTCAACTGGTGACATTACAGTAACCCTAGGAGCCGGCTTGTAACAATCGCCAAGCAAAATCTCACTGTGGTTCTTCTCCTATGTCATAAATAACCCAAAGGTAAAGGCGGAAGGCAGGGCTGGTGGCAGGAAACAGCACTCTGGGCAGGTTCAGCCGTATCTGGACATGTCTCAACATGTGCCTGGAGATCCCTTTCTTACTCAGCCGGGTGCCAAGCTCAGCATAAACAGTATTCCAGCTAAATATTAGACCGATGGGTATTGTGCTGTGCGTATCTACCTAGGGTTATCATGCCACAAAACTCTATAAATCATCTCAGTTGTTTCTGCCATGCCAGTTTACATTGCAATCTCGGAAACAAAGCCTCAGCTCACTGGTCAAAAAATAATAATAATAAAAAAAAAAATGCCATAAGATAGGCTGATTTGGACCCTCCTTGGAGCAAATTATCGCCCCTCCCTCCCTCCCTCGGCGGTCAATTTGGTTAGCTGTTCCTTTTTCTCTTTAACAGCATCCTTGATTACTGCTCAAGTGACATCACTGCTGGCAGAGGCATTGATTTCTCCCCCCCTCCCTCCCCACTCATGAATATTCGCCAAGCATTTCAACCGGGAGAGCCATTAATATTCAAGAAGCAAGGATGAAATGTACGCTCCAATTTAATGAAGGATTGTAGATACGGATCTGATGGATGACATGACAAGGAATATTTCAAAAGGCATCCATATTTCAAGTCCGAAGCTATTATTAGAAGCCGCAGAAAAAGGCTACCGAAGAAGAGGGAAATTAAGGGAGGAATATGGATAGACCCGGATATATTTAGATGGAGGGGAGAGTCAGAAGCTACTTTAAGGAAAGAAGAGCAAAACGTTGGCAGAATCAGAACGGTTCTGAGCTGAGAAATTGATCCCTATGATAATTGCAAGAAGCAAGCTTTCGTGGTCATTAAATGGCATTTATTGTCAAAATTATGGGATGCTTTTGAGGCCCTGCCAATCAAACCAATATAACAGAAACACAAGCTACACAAATGGGAAAGGGACATTTGAGGTCCTCCAATCCACTCCCCCCCCCTTCTGAAACACTCAAAAATTGGTTCATATTTGAAGGCAAAGTCTGTAAACTCCCTTAACAGTTATATTTCATCGGATTCTTTCTTGAAATAAATCTATCTGGCTTACCTCCAGATAAAATTTCCAGGTTAAAGTTCACACCGATAGGAAAAAAACCAATATGTTGACCTTATTAATAGTTTCCTAGCTTGATAACCTTCGACTGCTTGAAAGTTCTCTTAGCAGTTCGGACGGGCGTATTCTAAATTGTTTAAATGCAGTCAACGATATCCTGCAAAGCTGATTTTTTTTTTTTTTGAATGGCAGAGCTCAACCCTGCATCCATTACAGGAAGTGCTTGTGGTGGCACAATTAATGACTGCAGAGGCTCAACTCCACTAGCAGGATATCGCCATCTTAGAAAAACATGTTCTTCTTATTTAATTTTAAATTGATTCAGTCACAGTGGAGTACAGTACCATACGTACATTGCCATACCGTACAGTGACGTACAGTACCATACATACAGTACCGTACATTACCGTACAGTACCATACGTACATTGCCGTACATACACTGCCGCACGTACAGTATGTACCGTAATGTACAGTACCATACGTACAGTGCCGTACGTATGGTATGTACAGTGCCGTACGTACAGTGCCATACATAACATAATGTACAGTACCATAAGTACAGTTCCGTATCTACAGTGCCGTATGTAGTGCTGTACGTACAGTTCCGTATGTACAGTGCCGTACGTCTACTATCTCCAAGGGGCTAATAGCAACGGAACACAAAAACCCAAACCCTGGACATTTTCCTCAAAACTTTTGACGTCCATAAAATCCTTAGCTTAAAAAAAAATCCTACCACCTCAATAACTCAGCAGAATAAAAGGCATTAAGGCCCAAACTCCCATTAAGTACAATTTGTGAGCATCTGCTCGGCCTACTATGCAGCGGCTGTGTCCCTTGAACTGCAGCGCAAAAGGGCTTATGCTCCAGGTACTCAAAGTGTGGATTTTTAAATATTTTTTTCAACTGCCTCTCCATCCCAAATCTCTTTTACAACAGGCCCAAACTACAAAGGGATCCATTATTATTCCAAAACACTAAAAGCCACAAGGAATTTGGGAACCGTGTTTGCAAATCTGTGCCCAAGAATGCTTTGCGATCCTTGCTCTCCAAGTTAAATTTTATTTTTTATTTTTTTTAAAAAGGGCAGCTGCTAAACCTGTTCTGGCAGAAGCAGCTTTCTCTATTCTGGAGCGAGGGAAGAAGAAGAAGAAAGAAGCAGAACTGCCCCGAAATGGCCCAGGCTTTAGTGAGATCCCAGGAAGGAGATAAAACGCCAAGGAAACAAAATGGGCATCATTAATGAAAAGAGCACAAGGTTTTACCGCCGCCTCGGCTTCGCCTGGCAACCAACCGTCCAGATAAACATGTATTTTAAAAGTGCAAGGCAGAAGAGAGTGGAAAATTATAGGCTTGCAGGGCTGGAGGCTGGGGGGGGGGTGTGAGAGGGATGATTTGGTGTCCAGACTGATAACAAAATCCCATCATCTGCCCAGTGTCTGCAGGAGATAATGGCCTGAGCGTCCAGCCTCACTTGGAGTCCAGCTTCCAGGAACGGGTGCCGTAAACTGGGACAGGAACAAAGAGCCTCAGAGAGCTGCATTCCCCCCCCTGCCCCCCCCCAGCCTCTGGCCCTGCTCCAGGCAGCTAAATAACCCTCTCCAGCCTCCTTGGCCACAAGATGCAACAAACGCTGAACAAACAGGCCGTGGAGAACCGGTGCCAGCTCTCTCCTTGGTCCCACAGACCACGTGCTCCAGGGACGGGCGATCACCAAGGTCACCCAAACAGCAGGACTCGGGCCAGCGTCTGCCAGGCGGGGGCCCCCTGGGTCCTGCCCCCTCAGCAAACAGTAGCAAAGGTCCGTGCCTGGGGCTGCATGGATCAGTTCCCCCCCTCCCCAAAGAAAGCCACAGGGAGACGGGAAGGAGAACACTGCCTCCTGCACCAGCATGAGCCTTCCAAGTCATCCTTTTGCTGGCTTTCTCGGTGATTAAGGAGGAACTGGACTCTGCTCAGAAAAAGAAGAAAAGAAATTAAAGGGGAGGGGGAATGGGTGGGGAGGTGCACCTCAGGCAGTTTTGCCGATCCAGTGTCAGAGGCGTGCAGAAAAAAGGGAGACGGCAATCTCTCCCCCCCCTTCCTTATTCTCAAAGCTTCTTGGATATTACTGCGCTGTGGCCATCAGCATTAACATGAATTATGGTGCAGGCTGAGCACAGGAGGGGAGGGGGCGGGGAGCAGGGAGGAAAGAAAACTCTGCTGTGACTGCAGTCGGCTGCAATCCAAGGGAAGGACCCACTCCTATCCGGTGCCATTTTCTGCCCCTCGCCTGCAAGGGCTGCCAGCCTCTTCTCCCTCTAATTCCAAATGTCCTCACAGCCCCGGCCTTAAGTGCCGGCAGATCCCTGATCTGCATCGGCCCAAATTTGCTGCACCGGCCCACAACACGTGTGGAAGAGAATGCCTGGCTATTGATTTTGGAAATGGAAAGCCAGCCAAACTGCCAAACGCTCTGCCTCCCCCTCCCCTCCGGACCCCCCATTACTTTCAAGAACAAGACGGGAGGAGGGCAGCCTCAAGGTTTCCCCCCCCCCACGTGTCCCTGGTGGGAACAAGGAGCCCGGTTCCTCACGCAGCCAGAGGGATGTGTTTAATCTGCACACCAGGCAAAGCCTGCCATTGCACCCAGCAGGAACGGGGCTGCTGCATAGCGGCAAGGCGGCTGCCGCTGCATTACGCAGACCTGGGAGGCTCAATGTCACGGCTTGGCAGGCAGAGGCTGATGCCGCCCTCCAGGCCCACCTCTGCCTGGAGCTGCTGTGCGGCGCTTCAAGTGCAGCCAGGCCGAAGCCGGCATTACGCCGGCCATGTTAAGCTAGTAGGAGTCATCCCTGGCCAGGTGAGCTCAGCCAGATGGCTGAATTCGGGAGAGGGAGTAGAGGAGAGCCCTGCAAGGGCAATGCAGATACAGGACACTGCATTGGATCACCCTCTCCTTCAAGGAGTGGGCGGGAGGGGGGGAGAGGGAAGATCTGAGAGAAGATTGCATGATAGTCAGATCCCAGCAGGTCTCTCCCTCTGTTCCTTTTAGGGCAAAGTTTCCCAGTCTTGAGAATGTCCAAGAGGGAGAAATTCCACTCCCAGGATTCCCCAGCCAGTTTGACCATCAATGAGAATTGAAGTCCACATAGGCTGGCTGGGGAATTCTAGAAATTAAAATCCACACCTACTGGCTGGGGAATTCTGGACGTTTGTGTGCGTAGATAGATAGATGAGAGAGAGGGAAGATAGATAGATAGATAGATAGATAGATAGATAGATAGATAGATAGATAGATAGATAGATAGATAGATAGATAGATAGATAGATAGATATGCACAATGTGGTGGTCTAATGGTGAAGAGACTCACCTACCACTGAGAAGGTTGGGAGTTCAATTCTAGGTAGTGACAGATTTTCTGTCTCTGGTCGCAAAGAAAAAATATCTGCTGTGAACTCCACGTAGGCATCAGGAAGGGCATCCAGCCAGCAAATGCTCAGCTCCATCCAGTCGGCCTGACTCTACCCTGAATTAAGGGATTCCAGGGTCATAAAAAGGGAGCACATACATACATACAGTCATATTTCCTAGCTTCACCTTTGGGAGGTGAAGTTGAAGTCCCCGACTGGACATGCATATGCAAAATGATTTCCTGCCACAACATGGATGGCTGAAAGCAAGGAATGGTAGACTAACAAAGTCCCCCCCGAAGGCATGTTACACCGATTCCAGCATCCTTCAGTTTGAACGCATAAACAATTGCAACTTTCAAAAGTCTGTGCATTGTGTGAATGGGAAGATAGACAAACAGACAAAGACAAAAACAGCTGAAAAACCTGTTTATCCATTTTTTTTACTCCTTATTCTTATTACTGACTTGGGGAGGGGGGGGTCAGCCTTCAGCCTGAAGTGCACAAGGGGGACATAAAGGCAGCACAAGTCCTACTGTACAAGACACGGACACACACAATCCTGGCAGCAGCGCCCACGTCTCCTCTGAATGGTAAACTTGGATGCTACTTGCCAGCAATTGCGAAATGAAACAAGGCAACTGAAGAACAAGTTAAAATTATTACTAGGCTTTTTTTTGGGGGGGGGGGAGTAAGGGATGTGGGGAGAAGGAGAGATGTTTCTAAAAACACATTCGATGAACAAAAACATCCCAGATATTAAATGAACAAAGACGATCGACCCAATAAGAACTCAAGAGAAGACTTCCGAACACTCAAAACCAGAAGCAAACAAATGCAGGACCCATAAAGAGGAGGCAGTTGGGGGGGGGGGGAAGAGGAGAAACTGCAACATTTGGTGCCAATCAATCTTCCAGAGAAGCGTCAGCCTTCCCTGACTTTTGCAAGGTGATCAGAAGAGTCAATCTGCTTTCTCTCTAACCTGCCTTTGTCCTAAGCAAGCTGACCCAGAGTGACGGAGAGAGAGACAGAGAGAGAGAGAGGTTACAGGAGGAGAGTGGAGAATCAGAGATGGACCTGACCCCCCCAGGCCAAGGGTCAGCCTGGCTCTGGCTCTCCTCGACCTTTATTTACATATCGACAAACACCATGAAGCACCAGCCCAGCCCACCCACCAGCAGCATGGTGACGTGAATGGCGTAGATGAGCAATTCGTTGACCAGGCTAAAGTCCACCCGCCGCCTTCCCATCAGCAGCAGGATAATAGAGAGTTTGTATTGGAAGCGGAGAAAGAACCGGATGCTGAGGTACTGGAGGCAAAACAAGGCCGCCAGTGCCACCCAGAGGACGGAGGTAAACAGGCTGCAGCTGAAGTACAGCAAGAAGCGGATCACCCCGTACATCCAGCGGGACTTCAGGTAGATGTCAAAGTTGTTGTACTTGGTGCGCACCAAGGGTGTGGTCCGGACTGGCCCGCAGGCCGAATGCAGGCAGGTCGTGTGGGGCCCGTGGAAAGAGCGAACCCGCCGTGGGATAGGAATGACAGGCATCAGGCAAGCCAAGTTTTTACAGGACTGGAGAGCCAGGCTGGCTGGGGGTGGCCCCGACCGCTTCTGCGAAGAACATGGGAGGGGAGGCCAGCAAGCCAGGAGGGTGAACACGGCCTGGACGTGCCAAGATGGAAGCTGCCTGCAGGAAGGAAGAGAAGGAGAGCTGGGTTGAAGGAGAGAAAGCCAGCCAGCTGTGAACTGAAGACATGAGCCTGCTACTCCCTGGGTGGCTGCCAGGCATTGGATCCACGAGGAAATCAACCTGGGTTAATTATCGGGACCAGGAAGGCCACGATGGCTGCAAGGGGCTAAAATATGTCCCTGTTGCAAGCGATGCATTTGCTCACCGTCTAGAGCAGGGGTCTCCAGCCTTGGCAACTTTAAGACTGGGACTTCAACTCCCAGAATTCCTCAGCCAATCACGCTTAAAGCTGCCAGAGTTTGGAGACTACCGGTCAAGAGCAAAGGGCCGCAGGGACTGGCTGGAGGGAAATAAATTAAGAGGAGAGGTTAGAGTCAGGAAAAGAAAGACGGAAGTACAAGTAAGGCACTCACTCGTTCAGCATCTCAGACCAAGTCACCACCTGTTGAGGTGGAAAGTTCCAAAGGATCGGCAAAGGTTCGGGAGAAGAAAATAACTGAACATTGATGAACTGTGTCTTCCAGGCAGCTGGGCGGAAGGGAATGAAGGCGCAGAAAAAGACGTGGGCAATCGGACGGAGGAGAGGGGGGTGAAGGTGGCGGGGAGGGCGGCCCCTTCCTTTCTAGTAAGTTCTGCACCTGCCCACTGTCAGCCCTGTGAGGTAGTCCCGGCATGAAACTCACCAACTGTGAGTGCTCACACTACTTTTACTTTAAAGTAACGATAACAGAATCTTGCAAGGGTGAAAGTTCTTCTCCTCTCCTCTCCTTCTGCCTTCCCCAAAACCAGGGAAGAGAATAGAATAGAGCTGGAGGGGACCTTGGAGGTCTTCTAGTCCAGCCCCTGATCGAGCAGGAGAACCTGTACCATTTCAGACAAGTGACTGTCCAGCCTCTTCTTAAAAACCTCCAGGGAGGCTTCCGAGGCTCCACTTCTTGTTCCCGTGTTGGGCTAAGAAGACACTTTGGCCTGATCCTTCTCTGACTGCCTCTTCCTCCCGTCTCCCAAGGTCACTTCGCCCCTTATGTATTTCCCAAGACAGTTCCCGCTTTTTGCCTTTGAATAACAGCCTAACAGCTCGATGTTGGTCAAGTCGTGGCTTCAATACAGGCTCGTAATTTTTAGCTTATATCCTGGTTTTATTATTTTTATAAACGACCCAAGGCAGCGAATATGTACGTAATGCCCTCCTCCTTCCCCCTCCTATTTTCCCCACAACAACAACCCTGCAGAGCTGCCTGGGCTAAGAGAAAGGGTGGGCCCAAAGCCCCCCAGTTGTCTTCTGTGCCCGAGGCGGGACTGGGACTGCCCGTCTCCCAGTTTCTATCCGGGCGCCTCAACCTGGAGACGCCAAAGGGCTCCAACCATCATGGCTCACCGACCTGAGAGTCCCGTCACGAGAAGGCTCGCACGCAGGGACCGGCGAGCGGAGGGGGGCTGCCAAGAGGAGCCCCCCAGGGGGAGATTCGAACCCAGCTCCAGCCGGGAGGTCTGCCCCGTCCAGGCCCTCCCGTCCCCCGGGAAAGCGCCGGGGCTCCCTCCGCAGCCAGCCTGAATCTTTCAGCCCGGATTGGGCCCTGCCGGCTTCCCCCTTACGGCAGGGGAGGATGAGGCCTGCAGTCCAAGAGGCCCGGCCTACCTCGCGGGGCTGTTGGGCGGGCCGGCGCTGGGGAAAGGAGCCCCGGGGCGGCGGTGGACTCACCGAGCGGCGGCGGCGGCGTCGGGCCATGGCGGCGGCGGCGGAGGAGGCGGCGGAAGCGGCCGGGCTCGGGCAGCGGCGACGGCGGCGACTCGCCTCAGTTCGGGCCGGCGGCGGAACGACCCGCGCGCGGCGATGGCGTCATCAGCAAGCGCCGCCTCCCTAGGAGAAGAGCGCGCCGGGAAGCCGTCGCCTAGCAACGGGGGGGGGTCTTCCCGTGCTTCGTCCCGTCTGCTCTCTATGGACTCCAGTTCCCATCGTCCACCTGCGTGGACTCTCTGATCGGGGACAGCGGGAGCTGGGCAGGATTCCCCCTCCCATCATCCACTAGCATGGGCCCTGCTGGTTGGGGATGATGGGAATGGGAGTGTGGCACCTTGGAAGGCAACCCGTGACCCAGCCTTAGCCTGATTTTCTGCAGAAGTGCTGGAGTCCCCCTCCCATTATCCAGCAGTTAGTGAAGAATGATGGGGGCGGGAGTCTAGTTTCTTGGGGGGGGGGCTTCCTCCTCACTTTGGGGTCTTCTGAGAAAGGCTGGTGGTGATGCCAGTTTGAACCAAACGTCCCCACGGAGCCTAAAAGGAATAGGCACATCGTTGGTGGGCCAGTGGACGATGGGAACTGCAGTTCAAGACAGCCAGCTGGTTTCCGACAGGAAAAGTCAAGGGGAGAAGCCGGATTCACTTAACAACTGCAATGATTCACTTAACAGCTGTGGCAAAAAAGTCATAAAATTGAACGCAGCTCCCTTAACAACCACCTTGGTTAGCAATGGAAGTTCTGGCCCCAGTCACCGTAGGTCAAGGACTACTTATTTTAGAGCCCTTCCCACGTCTAATAGTTTGCTGTGTCAAAGTGCAACTGACCGATAGATCTAGAAGTCATCAGAATGGAAAAGCTGCATCAGAGGAATTTTTCTAAACAATTCCAGGGGATTAAGGATAAAATGAAAGAAGTTCAAATGCCATCTTGGCATCTTTCATCATCCTTTAGTTATAAATTCAGCTGCAGGAAAAGTGAGATGCATTAAGTCTTTTGCCCCAGCATGGTGCTAATTTCACTAATGATGCAGCTCCTCTTCCTGTTGATTGAACAAGGTTTATGTTGATGGGGTTTTACTGGCAATCGGCAGAGAATATTGCACTTTAGATGGTCTATGTGGATTTATTTGACCCTTGCGGTCCTATAAACGGTGACTTCTTCTTTCAAAACTTTAAATGAAATGCATACATTGCCGAAGATTTATAGCACAAGCCAAAGAGCAACAAATATTACTTTCAACATATTTGTCACTTCAGCAATAGAACAAAACGGGGGTGGGAGAGAACCGCTGTACCAACCTGTGGCAGACACTGAGCTTGAAATAAATTATAGATACATGCATCTTAAAGGAGTTTATTTGGGTCATGAATAGGTGATGGGGGGCCTCCTCCTGTGCAGATTTTAAAGTTAAATTATGCAAAATAAAAAAACGGCTTATAATACTTCATCAAACATGCATAAAACTGTCAGGTTCCCATAAATTCTCTCAATTAAATAGCTTCAGATCCTGATTGCATTTACTAATTTAATCAGGAGTAGAATAACTTGGATCCTCAGGAGTGATGAATTGCGATGGCTTTTTTGTCCTGAGAAAAGAGGATGATGGGAAAGCAGACAGGACAAAAACTTCATTTTAGGCATAGAATCTGCCGGTCTTTTTCATTCTCAGTTAGGGGAAAGAATCGGCTTTCAGATCCCTTCAGCTTTGGGAAAATGGTCACGGACAGTGTCTGGTGTCCTTGCTCTCAGACAAGGTGATCAAGAACGTTCTCCATTCTCTGCACAGGAAGGAAGCAGAATGGCAGAATGATAAGAGTTGGGAGGGACTTCAGAGGTCTTCTAGTCCAACCCCCTGCTCGAGCAGGAGATCCTATCTATATCATTTCAGACAAATGGTTGTCCAATCTCTTCTTGAAAACATCCAATGATGGAGCACCCACAAATTCTGGAGGCAAGCTGTTCCAGTGGTTAGTTGTTCCTCACTGTCAGGACACCAAGTCTTTTTCAAAGGGAAATGTTGGCAGTTGAGAAGTCCAGTCTCAACTGTCAGAACCTATCCTTCCATCACCCACCGTCACAACTAATGAAGCTTCTTGGATGAGAAGTCAAACGTTTTTCAGTTTCATTTTGAAAAAGCACCTTTGAGATTAAAACTTGACTAGTACTCCTAACATGTAACCACTAGAGGGAGCCCTTGGCAAAATTATGGCCCAAACTAGATATTTCTAGGGGGGGGGAGAGAACACCCGCTTCCCCAACCCTGTGCCCTCCAGATACCTTGGATTATTAGACCTTCACATCCTGACAATGAGAACAATTAATCAGGGGATCGGTTGGCGTTCAGAAGTTGTGGGCGCTCCATCAGTGGAGAATGTTGAGAGGAGACTGGATAGCCGTTTGTCTATATAAATATAGAAATTTCTGCTGCAGTGAAGTCTTCATTCAAGTCCTCACTTATAGATTAAAAGTGATAGGCATAGCTATAAGGCAGATGGACCTGAGTGAAGACTTCACAATGTACAGTACTATGGCGTATATCTATGCCTATCTGTTTAAGCTGTCTGTGAGGACCTGGGTGAAGACTTCGTAATGCACAGTACTTTATAACTTGAGATGGAGAGCGCATGCGTCGGCTCCCGTTTGTGTCTAGCGTAATATATCTGTAGTTATCTAATCTATGTATGAGGAATTGAGAGAAAACTTCTTGGCGAATAATAATTTATATATTATTATTGGGTGGGGACAGGGGACCTGAGGAAAGACATGACTCTCTCTCTTTCTGTGTTTCTCCGTGATTTTTTTTGTCTATGTATCTAAAGAGAGAGGAGGGAGAAAGATGGACCTGAGTGAAAACTTCACTATACACAGTACTGTGGCTTATAGGTATTGCTATATATACATGAGGACCTGAGTGAAGACTTCACCCTGCACAGCAATTTATAACTTGAAATAGAGAGCGCATGCCTGCGTTCGTGTTTATGTAATTTATCTATAGCTACCTAATCTGTATCAGGAATTGAGAGATATCCAGACAGGAGATTATAGTATGCTGAAGTTCCCACAACAAAATAAACTTTATTCATGCAGGCATCATGGGTGGGTAAACATTAAAAAAAATCCATCATGTAGTCAAAAAAGCCAATTCCTACAAGAAAAAAATGGCATAGAAACTCTCAAGGCTGCTACAGTGCAGATCCTCTCCCTGAAGTGCTCATTGTCCACTCGCAGAACACAACACAAATATCACAAAACTATTCAGGAAGGGAAATCCCTGTGCATTATTTCATAAAAAAGTCCTTTAACAGGGTGTTGTTGTATGTTCGTGGGCTTCAAATGAATTCTTTAAGGGCAATCTCATTGCGTTCTTTTGTTTCCCTTCTAGTAAACTGGAGTGGAAGAGGTCAATCTGAAAACTCCTGAAAAGTTGGAAAAAGAGCAGAGAATGGTGGAAGGACATTCATCAGCAAGAGTTTTACAGAATTGGACTACTTGACAAGCCAGTTGTGCATAAAGTATGGGTGGCTTTTAAAATAAAAATAAAACATCAATAAAGGAGAATATTTGAATCTCTTCTCGGCTGTGCATTTGGCTGGGTGTGCAAAGATGCGGGCCATGTACACAACTGCCACCCGCAAGGCTTGGCTGGCCCGTCCCATCAGTTCACTTCAGAGCCAGGATTCTCACTTAATAGAATTCGAGCAGAGCATTAAATCAATTACCCAGCCTTATAAAGCACTCGGGATATTTTGTGTTTAATTAAAGCTTTTAATTAAAGCAATGAGGATTGCACTTGTGTCGTCTCCGGCAACCGAAACTCTCCTTCTGGGACTTGGGAGTCGTGTGGCTCTTGAGGTGGCGGTGGGGGAACTCATGGAAATACAGAGTGAAAAAGGAGAGGGCTTTGTTTAGCTGAGAAGACAGGTGTTGCTTCCTCGCACCTGGGTCTGAACAAACACAATGGGGAGGGGGGGAACTAATGGAGAAAAGTCTTCTTCCACTGAGCCATCAAGGTTCACCAGATACTTAACACTGTTCCTCTCCCAGTGGAGAAAAGGGTTTTTTTTTCCCATTTTCCTTGGCTATTTAGTTCAGGGTTAAGCCCCTTGAGATTTGTCTTTGTGATTGTTTAACTGCTGTGTCACATTGATGGATAAAGTTGGAGAATGTAGGCAAAACCAGATGAATTTCTGATGACCCCCGCTCTTAGATTGCCACTCATTTATTCACCAGATCCATTTTAGACCACTTTTGAAGTGCTTAGATCCCAGCTGCCTTCATGTAAACCAGTGAAGATCAACTTGTCCACAAGTAGTCCCAAGTCCAGGAGAAGCTTTAGAACGTAGAATACAACATAGAATAACAGGGATCTTCGAGGTCAGTCAATTAATCAACAAGAAGAAAGAAAAGAGGATGACCACTGGAGCTTGACTCCGCTCCAGTGGCGATGGGGACCCTGTTGGAAGACATAAAGGACCAGGTTGGGCACAGTTCCTCCAGGAGAAAAATCTACCTATGGCTGGGATGGGCAACTATGATGCTTTACGACCTGTGGACTCCACGCTGGCTCAGGAATTCTGGGAGTTGAAGTCCACAGGTTATAAAAGGGCCATAGTTGCCCCCCCATCTATAGGGTCACTAAGAGTTGACATCAACTTGATGGTACATCATCAATCCATCAGTTGCAGCTATTTGAGAACCTCTATCTCAGTTAGCAGCTGCAAGGAGGAGGAACTGTCTTAAGCATGAAAGAGAGATTTTTGCATCGTCTTCCTCAGCTTCATCCATACTGTAGGAATTGCACCCACAGGCAGAAAAATCCATATTGTACGAATGGCAGCACTGCAAACTGGGCACTTGGGAAACCTCCTAAACGACCCGGGTCGAACCTCTGCCAAGTGGCCTGCTGTTTCTCCTCCGCTCCTTGTTTATATAGTCTCGTTTGGCATACAATATGCCCTGGCAGGCTTGGTTCCTTAAGAAGATCAGACGTCTTTACGTAACCCATTTTTCCTTAGCATTAAATCTTCCTCCGGATTAGCAACTTCTGAAACATCTGTGTGGGCTTGGAGACAAGACTGCCAGCTGTAGCTGCC